AAAAATAGTAAAAAAATTGAGCACCACCAATTCCTGACAGAACAACAGATGATCACTTGATGATACAAGGTCACTATTAATTTATTAAATATCTGACCAGAAACGGTAAATTAATACCTCGTTGAAAAAAAAAAATTAATAAAAACATGTGAAACATATACTAGTATTATAAACCAAAAGACACTCACCGTGCCAACTGAGTGGGTTGCTTGAGTTTTCCAATCAAGTAACATTTTTTTTCTTCTCTGTGAAAAAACTACTGCTGGAACAAAAAATGAGAGCTACGCAAAAGAAGCTTAATTCCAGACCCAGACATATAAATATAAAATAACAATAATAAACTGGAACAAGTTTTTTTACATTTTTTTTACAAACTTTATTAAAAATCAATATTACATTCTAATTTACATGTTATGGATCCATTATTCTATACACCTAAATAAAATAATTAAAAAACTTTTTTTCTCTCCCGTATAAAAATTATAAGTCACCTGAGTGGAATTTAAAACGGCGATATCCGTTAGTATAAAAAAATCACAATCCATACTGTCCATCAGTATGAAAGACAGGATAGCTTAGAAAACAAATTATAAGCTTACCAAAGAAATGTTATATAAATATATACATATATATACACATACGTATATGTTACATGATATTCGGTTCTCTATTGTCAATCAAAATGAGACTAAAAATTTTTTTCCTTTGTCAATGGACATTTAGATTAAAGAACACATAAAAGAAATCAAGATGTCTTGGATCTCTCTTATTGATTTTCCTCTCTTGATACAAGATTTAATCGTATAATGTTATGTTTGTAAACTTTGGGCACAAGAGCCTGCATGACAATGTGAGTGATTGCTGCAGTCAAGCCCCAAATTTTGTAATTGTCCACTAAATAAACTGGCATTGTGTAATTATTCCTAAACTGTGTATAACGACAAAGAGCTAGATCACATAATTTCTCCAGTGGCTGAACAAAAGCTTTCTCAACCTCATTTGTATTTACTTTCAGACTCTTGGGCTCAACTCTACCAATAAAACCTAATACTGGCAGAACAGCCATCTCCTTTCTTACAATCAAATTTCCACTACCCCAAATTTCAATGTCACTCCTAGCTATATTCAACTCCTCTTCTGTTTCTCTCAGAGCTGTATCCTCTAGAGTTGCATCATTTTTGTCCTTCATACCACCTGGAAAAGATACCTGTCCACGATTCATGCTCACTTTAGTTGATCGCAAAGTATACAAGAGTCCCAATTTCCCATTATGTATGCACAAAGGAACCAGGACAGCTGCTGATTTAATAGCACTATTCTTGCTTGGCTTGAACACTTGAGCATTCTGTAATCTCTCAACGCATGCTGATCGAATTTTGCCATCAAGTAGTGCTTCCGGAGAAAGGAGGGCTTTTTCTGCTGAACTGAGCTTTCTTCCAGACTTGAGTGTATGTAAGCAAACAATGAATCATTTTTTGGTTAAATTTCCACCGAGCCACGTTTCAATTAAAAATAAGACAAATTGATGTAATTCGATCAACTGTGAGTCAAACATACGAATCTAAAAAATTTGATATTGAAAAATATACAATGACCTCCAAACAAATTCCATTGGCATAGGAGCTACTGTTAACAAGAGTCATGTACTTAAATGTACTTTATGATATCATTCACACATCGCGAAGGTACAGGTTGATTGAAAAATTAATTTGTCCACTTACGAGCGAAGATGATGAAAAAAGCTCAGCTTTTCTTCGTAGAGTTCTTAGAAACATCAGTGAAAAATTTTCCGTATGCGTCAGATTCCCTAGCTATAATTCCTTTACATTAAAATCTATAAGAGAGATCTACAATTCCGTCAATTCATAGGGTGAACTTCATAAGTTATCACAACAATATTTTGTTACGTGATTTACTGATTACATTACACGAATAACACGAATAAATGAATAAAAGCTCGAGCTTGACACATTTGGCAATTTCCAACTGTCCGTAATAGAGGTAAATGACCCAATTACTGCGCAGGCACCAATTACTGCGCACTCGACGGTAACTGAAAATAAGAAAAACAGACTGAAAATTATGGGTGCTTGGATATTGTAACACGTACGGACATTAATAACGATCAATCCAGATAAATCATACTTTACATCATGACATTTATAATTGTTCAACTGAGTGACTCTAAACTAAATTTGTAGTCGTGCGTAGTGATTGGTGCGCAGCAATTGGGCTTCAGCATGAAAACCTTATGGGAGATACCCGCGCAGTAATTGGGGGCGCAGCGACTGGTACTAATTTTATAACCGTGCGCAGTAATACCAGCAAGTGATATCAGCACTAAAACAATTATTTAAAAAAAAAAAAGTTACTTAACAGAAAAATGTTTGCCGTTTTAATCGCACAAGATGCTGCAGATAAAGATTAAGTAAAACTGGTTCAATTTACATCGAAAAACATTGAGAAATGAGAAATTTAGTACAATCAAAAATTTCAGTGCGCAGTAATTGGGCCATTTACCCCTAGTGCACACACGTCAGTTTCTGTATCGACTGAGCTCAACTTTGACGTTTCTCGAATTCTCGTGTTTCTCGTTTCTGTTGCGCACGCGCAGAGAACAGAGCAGAGAAAGCGCGGGATTTATGTGGAGTTGCTGAAGTCAGAAACTAACAGCCTAATTCTCCTTGCATCTTATCTTGACTAAACCGTATTTTTTTTTTCGGAGTTCTTGTTAATTGTCAAAATGAGCAAAAGGCCACCCTTTGCGTCAAAACAGCCACCGAAAAAAGGAAAATTCTCGTAAGAACACTTTTTTTCTACCTTGTTCAAACAATTATTTTCCGTGCAAGAACTTGAAACAACTTGTACTAACCTCCTTTCGCAAATATGTTTACTATTTACGAAATTTGCTCTAAATCATTTATCAGTGTCTGTTAATAACTTTACATTTTGTTATTTAGAAATAACGATGATGAGCCATCAACATTTGTATCGGAGTTGGCTGAGATGGGTGATTTCGATGAGGAGTTCACTTGTGAAAACCCTGAAATTTTTGGTGAAGTAAGCAAAATGAAATACCATAAAATTTTAACGCAAAGCAATAAGTACTGTGTATTAAATAATCTTGAACTCATTGCAGGGTCCAGAACAAGAAAATACATCCTCAAAGTGGAGTCGACCTCCACCTCCAAATTTGGACCCATTAAAAGACACATTGGCTTTCCAACAAATCGAAGTAGATCATTACACAGGTATCATTAGAATCTATTTGAAAACACTGATATTTTTACCCTTACGTAATTACAAGTCGATTTTGATTTTTAGACAAACCTTTACCTGGCATGCCGGGAAGTAGGATTGGCCCGGTTCCTGTTATGAGGATGTATGGTGTGACAGAAGGAGGCAATTCTGTTTGTTGTCATGTCCATGGTTTTAGTCCTTACTTCTTTGTGTCTGCTCATCCATTGTTTAAAAATTCTCACTGTAAACCATTCAAGGTTAGATGAAAAACACAACTTCACACCTATTAACAGCATGAAAAACTGTCACTGCATAAACCTTTTATTTTTACAGGAAGCTCTGAATAACGCTGTAAAAAAAGACATCAAAAACAACAGTGAAAACGTTCAAGATTTCATATTGGCTGTTGAAATAGTCGAGCGTCAATCAGTATTTGGTTACACTGGAGAAAAGAAGTCACTCTTTTTAAAAATAACTGTTGCTTTACCTCGATTAATTGCCCCTTGCAAAAGAATATTAGAAAATGAAGTTGTTTTTCCAACTCTTGACCACAAATACACTGCCTATGAGAGTAATATCGATTTTGACATTAGGTTTGTACTGATTGATGTCACCATCTTGAAATATTTTTGACTGCTAAAAAAATGCATTGTTGTACATATTAAGATTTATGGCTGACACGCACATGCTTGGCTGCTCATGGATAGAGTTACAGCCAAAAAAATGGAAGTTGAGAGGAAAACATGGCCACAATTTGCCGCTCATCACCAGATGCCAATTGGAAGTTGACGTAGCTTGGGACCAATTCATAGCTCATGCTCCTGAAGGAGAATGGTCCAAAGTTGCACCGTTTAGGATTCTCAGTTTTGACATTGAGTGCGCCGGTCGCAAAGGTATTTTTCCCGAGCCAAATCACGACCCAGTTATTCAGATTGCCAATATGGTGATCAATCAAGGAGACAGTGAGCCATTTTTGCGAAATATTTTTACTCTTGACACATGCGCTCCAATCGTTGGATCTCAGGTTTTGAGTTTTCAAAAAGAAAGTCAGATGCTGGAGGTATGTACCATGAATCATTTTAGTAATACTCTTTTAATTCCGTAAGCTAATTATTACTCATTACAGAAATGGGCCGATTTTATCCGACAATTAGATCCCGACATATTCACAGGATACAACATCAACAATTTCGATTTTCCATATTTGATAAACCGAGCACAACATCTGAACGTCAGAGATTTTAGTTATTTGGGTAGAATAAAAAATATCAAATCAGTGATTAAAAATCAAGTACTGCAAAGTAAACAAATGGGGAGGAGAGAAAATAAATTTGTTAATTTTGAAGGTCGCGTACCGTTTGATCTGCTCTTGGTAGGTTTTAAATAACATTAAAAAAAAAAAGGAAAAAAATAAACAAATATCTAACAACGACGTTTTGAAAAGGTTTTAGTGAGAGATTACAAACTTCGATCTTATACCCTGAACGCTGTGAGTTACCATTTTCTTCAAGAACAAAAAGAAGATGTTCATCACAGTATTATCACCGATTTACAAAACGGAAACGCTCAAACCAGAAGGCGTTTAGCTGTATATTGCTTAAAGGATGCTTATCTGCCTCTCAGACTGCTAGATAAGCTCATGTGTATTATTATTTACATGGAAATGGCAAGAGTCACAGGTGTATCTCTTTCGAGTCTTCTAACGAGAGGTCAACAAATCAAAGTTGTGTCACAGTTATTAAGAAAGGTAAATAGCAAACACCATCGTAATATATAACGTATGCCACGTTATCGTAATAATTAACTTACGTATTTTTAATAGACAATTGAGAGAGGATATTTAATACCAGTCCATCATGGCCATGGCTCGGAAGAACAATTTGAAGGAGCTACCGTAATCGAACCGCTTCGTGGATATTACAACGATCCGATCGCAACACTCGATTTCAGCTCCCTATATCCAAGTATTATTATGGCTCATAACATTTGTTACACAACTCTGTTGAATACAGCGGTAGTCAATCAATTTGGTGTTTCCAACGATGATATTACCAAGACTCCGTCCAATTCCCTCTTTATTAAGAGCAACGTGAGAAAGGGAATACTGCCCGAAATCTTAGAGCACTTGCTTTCTGCCAGAAAAGCTGCAAAAGCAGAATTAAAAAAAGAAACCGATCCGTTGAAACAAAAAGTACTAGATGGTCGACAGTACGCTCTCAAAGTGTCGGCCAATTCTGTATATGGTTTCACTGGCGCGCAGCAAGGAAAATTACCGTGCCTAGAAATATCTGGCGTAAGCGTTTTCTAGTTAGATATTTATCAATATAAAAATTAATATTTTACTGAATTTGTTTTACGCATTTTTAGAGTGTAACTGCCTATGGTCGTACTATGATTGAAAGAACAAAGCAAGAAGTGGAATCACATTACCGTAAAGAAAATGGATATGAACATGACGCCATTGTTATCTATGGTGACACTGATTCAGTGATGGTAAAATTTGGAGTCAAAGAAATTGAAAAGGCCATGGAACTTGGAAGGGAAGCTGCCGAATACGTGACCTCGAAATTCATCAAGCCCATTAAATTAGAATTCGAGAAGGTATATTTTCCATATCTTCTTATTAATAAAAAACGATACGCCGGTTTGTACTTCACGAGGCCGGACAAATATGATAAGATGGACTGCAAAGGTTTAGAAACTGTACGAAGAGATAACTGTCCCTTGGTAGCCAACATGATGAACACATGTCTTCAAAAATTACTTATAGATAGGTAAATATCATTTTTGAAAGCATACTTGTAAAAAATATAAGTTAAAATATAAATATAAAATGTTTATTTATTTTCGCAATTTTGTACAGAAATCCCGAAGACGCTACGGACTACGCAAAGCAAATAATCAGCGATTTGTTGTGCAACCGAATTGACATTTCTCAATTAGTCGTTACCAAAGAATTGACAAAAACCGATTACACTGCAAAACAAGCTCACGTAGAGTTAGCAGCTAAAATGAAGAAACGAGATCCGGGTAATGCACCTAAATTAGGAGATCGTATACCTTACGTATTTATTAATGGGCCCAAAGGAGTGCCTGCTTATCAAAAGGCCGAAGATCCAATTTACGTGTTGGAAAATAACATACCCATAGATACAAATTATTATCTGGAGAATCAGCTATCCAAGCCACTCGTTCGAATTTTCGAACCTATTCTTGGTGACAAAGCGGAATCATTATTACTAAAAGGAGAACACACGCGAACAAAATCAATTGCCACTTCCAAAGTGGGCGCCTTGGTGGCCTTTACGCGCAAAAAAGAATTGTGTTTAGGGTGTAAGGCTGTGTTAACGGCAGACCGAGAGGAAAAAGCGCTCTGTCAGTATTGTGAACAGAAAGAATCTGAGATCATTCAAAATGAAATTTACAGTATGAGAAAATTAGAAGAAAAGTTTTGCAGACTGTGGACAGAGTGCCAAAGATGCCAGGGAAGTCTTCATCAAGAAGTTATTTGCTCAAGGTTACTATCATTGCGAAGATTACTTTTCTATTCACATACAAAATTGACAGAATCATGAAATTGTTCAATTTATTTTTAGCCGAGACTGTCCCATTTTCTACATGAGGAAAAAAGTCCAGCTGGATTTGGACGCCCAATCAAAACGAGTTGACAAGTTTGGTATTCCGAAATGGTAGATTTGCCATTTTTTTGGCAATCTAACTTATTAAATTAATTTTAACTTTCATCATTCGGATCTATTTATCTAAGCGTTATTCACTAACAATCAATCATAATTTAATTTAACTGATTTTTCGCGATGGATAATTTGTTAATAATGGAAACATTAAATGTTGTACATATTATTTTGTCATCTGAACCGCACCGACATGTTGTGTAAACTTTTTAAATACACTTGATGTTTTTTTTTCTAAATTTCTAATTTTTCTATTAATCCATCCTTCTTAGCAATTACAGTGTAAATTACTTAAAGTGCTTATAACTATTAAACTTACATAAATAAGTGTCATTCATAAGTTAACAAATTGCAGGTTGCCTCTGTTTATTTTCATCGTTTGTTAGTTCCTAATTACATTAAATATTTGAGAGATGCGTGGGACTAAAAATTTGGTTTTTAAACATTGGTCCTTACGAAAACTACTTAATACATTATTAGTAGTTTTTTTTTTTCTACTTCAGTATCAGCAACAAAAATTACATTTGTTGGCATATGCGTCTGGTAGCATATTTATTTATTTTTACGAAGTAGGTAATGCCCAATATTCCATCAATTCTTAAACAACAAATTAAATTTGACTTGACAAGTGTAAATATCAGTAATGCATATTGGATCGATAGCACAAATATAGTACTATAGCAAGAACATGCGTGTATATGAGAGAAAGAGAGAGGGAGATTTTCTCCCCTCGTCGTCGACAACGTTGTCGTGTCGTCATCACACCCCACCATCCGAGAGACACGCGAGTCGCGAGTCGCGAGTGCGACGATTGAACAGTTCACTTTGAACGTCCGCTGCCGGTGAGACTCTGTTTGAGGTGAGTACTTATCCAAGTCATCGGAACTATCTTCAAACTCTGACAAGGTTTTCTCTCCCAAACTCGCGTTCCCGTGTCTTAGGATATTTATTTAGTGAATAAAAGCTCTCGATCCACGTGTTCGAAGTGACGAAAAAATCTACTGTGCTCTCATCACGGAGCTCCTGTGTTGGGGCACAGGCACTTAGTGTCCGATTTGTCGACGGATAAACTGCCCAAGATCGTATAGACCAGGGAAGCTGGTGCAGCCCATTGATGTGTAACTGACCTCCAGAGCGGAGCTTGGCCAAAGGTTACATGCAAAACTGCAGAGGCTTCCGCGTATACACACTCTGCGCTGTGTTTCCCGATGACCTTGCCAAGGTCATTTTTATCTGCCGGGGCGTAAGTGTACAGCAGCAGTGCTAGAGCCTTTATCCCCCCCTGACCTTTGCGGCAACGGTGATAATGCTTTGACGCGAGCGTGATTACGTTCGAAGCTCGTGAATTACATATGCACTTTGCACGTCCGGGAACTTTATTGATGTGACCGGTGTTACATAAGCGTAACGCAGGTATAGGGTAAGTAGAGAGAAACCGGAGCAAGAAAAATTTTGTGCGCTGTTTAACTTGATTATTAATTTTTTTTTTCGTTCTTTTCATCAGTTGAGTGTTTTGACGTTACGACAAAAGAACGCGCGAGGGGTGGGTAGAGAGACCTTGACATTGTTGTATACGTCTATATATAAGTATGTATGCATCTTTTGGCAAAGGTTTGATTCGATTCTGCTTATATTATATGTTACAGGACTTTGACGGTAACTTTCAAGCGATACTTACACGCCACCATGCCCATCCAAAGCATCAAGGCCCGCCAGATCTATGACTCCCGTGGCAACCCCACCGTCGAGGTGAGTGTCTCACGTCGACAACCCATTATTTGTGCAGTAAACTTCTTTGCTGGCTATTTTTAAGTCAACTTTCATTCATACAATGCGGAATTTTCATTCAAATTACCAAACTGTAGGTCAACATTAAGTGGTTTTTCGTTCTTTGCAGGTTGATCTCATCACGGAAAATGGACTTTTCCGTGCTGCAGTGCCCTCGGGAGCATCCACCGGTGTCCATGAGGCACTTGAGATGAGGGACAACGACAAGGACCAGTACCATGGCAAGTCAGTCTTCAAGGCTATCAGAAACGTCAACGAAGTAATTGCCCCTGAACTGTTAAAGGTGTGTTTTTCACTGTAAACTTAACATATTTTTTTACTTTTCGATTCAAAATATCTTGAATGACATTTGGTGTGACATGTGTGTAGGCCGGACTCGAAGTTACTCAGCAAAAAGACATTGACAACTTAATGCTGAAACTCGATGGTACAGCAAACAAGTCAAAGCTTGGTGCTAATGCTATCTTGGGTGTCTCTTTGGCCGTTTGCAAAGCCGGAGCAGCCAAAAAGGGGATGCCACTGTACAAGTGAGTATAATGAATTTTTTTTAATAATGAAATTTTGATTGAAAACAGTGTAGAGAAAAATCTATAACTTATCTTCAGATACATTGCCGAGTTGGCTGGAAACACAAACATTGTTCTCCCTACACCTGCATTCAATGTCATCAATGGTGGTTCCCATGCTGGCAACAAGCTCGCTATGCAGGAATTCATGATCCTGCCAACTGGCGCTTCAAACTTCACTGAGGCCATGAAAATGGGCAGTGAAGTTTACCACCACTTGAAGAATGGTATCAAGAAGAAGTTTGGTCTTGATGCTACTGCTGTTGGTGATGAGGGTGGCTTTGCTCCCAACATTCTGGAAAATAAGGAAGCCATCAACCTTATCATGAACGCCATCAAGGTAAATTTATAAAATTTTATGCGTGCAAGGAAATAATTTGGAACATGTATACGATGTTAAGGTTAAATATTTTTTTTCAGGCTGCTGGTTACGAGGGCAAAATTAAAATAGGCATGGACGTTGCTGCATCTGAATTCCACAAGGACGGCAAGTACGACTTGGACTTCAAAAATGAGAAGTCTGACCCAAGCACGTACTTGGAACCTAAAGCCTTGCAAGACTTGTACTTGGGATGGGTCAAAGAGTTCCCAATTGTATCCATTGAGGATCCCTTTGACCAAGATGGCTGGCAGTCCTGGACGGACATTACTGCAGCTACTCCAATCCAAATCGTTGGTGACGATCTCACCGTAACAAATCCAGAGAGGTAAACATCTACATTTTTTATGCTTTATCATTCTATTAAAAGTAATTAAGCTGATTAAAACACAAGATTATTGGACTGTTTCGATAATGCATCGTAATTTCAGAATCAAGACCGCCATCGAAAAGAAGGCCTGCAACTGCTTGTTGCTCAAGGTCAATCAGATCGGCAGTGTGACCGAATCAATCCAAGCTCACCTACTTGCCAAGAGCGCTGGCTGGGGCACGATGGTCTCGCATCGTTCCGGCGAGACCGAAGACACGTTCATTGCCGATCTGGTCGTTGGCCTGTCCACCGGCCAAATTAAAACTGGCGCACCCTGTCGTTCCGAGCGTCTTGCGAAGTACAACCAAATTCTTCGCATCGAGGAGGAGCTGGGAGCTGAAGCCAAGTACGCTGGCGAGAAATTCCGAAACCCCCATGCTTAAGCAGTTTTTATGCTTGGGTCAATGCTAAGCGAACGACAGGCAGCGAGAATAACACGTGTCGGCACACCTACTGTACACTCACATTTATTTATATTATTAGCTGCAACGCGGTATTATATACCTATTTATATTATTTTCAAAACAAAGCGTTTGTAATTTGATTTTGCAATGTTTAATTCGACGCGCGATACGAGTAGATGATCGAGAACTTGAGCGTTTCGCAAGAAATGCTCAAGCTTACCATTTAATCTTGTCAGCGTACTCTCTGTATCGTTTTAAACAGATTTTTATTTTTTAGTTGCCCCTTTTTTAAGAATTTTCGTGATACTTCCGAATCGTCGGAACACAAAGTATTTATTATTATGAAGAAGAAGAAAAAATAAAACGTTGATCCATCGAATAGGCAATGATATTCGAGTAATAAGAATTGTTGGAAATAGACAGATGTATACCATATTTTGCGTAGCATGAATTACAGACCGTGTCTGGAAATGCATTGTTCCAAACGAAAATGTAAATAAGTTGATAAAAATTCCAAATAAAGTATGAAACTAAATTAATCTCGGTTATTATCTTGTGCATTTTTACCTCGTATAGACGCGCGGAACGTATAGGGCTCGGCGATCCCTATATACGACATGCATTTGAATATTTTTGCATAACCATTTGCATCAGCCGTACATAATCGATAAGATGACCATTTTTTGCGCGACAAGCATCATTTTATTTGGAGAAGAGAAAAAAAAAAAAAAAATGTAAGAATCCGCAGAAAAGGGTCCCCGACCGATTGATTCGGCGCAAAGTGACCCACATAGCTTTCCTCACCGCGCGCAGATCGTGCCGAGGAGAAAATCTTGAGTAATCGCACGTCACGCATCTTTTCTCTCTCTTGCTTTCTTGGCCAGTGGCTACTATACTAGTACTGCTGTATATAGGCATACCTACTCGACAATAGCCCATTCGCACGCGAACCCGAACTAAACTGCGCGCAAGCATAAGTATCGACTCGAGAGAAAGGGAGGGAGAGACGTAAGGTCAGTATACCCGGCGCCCCTTTGCTTCGAGGCATACACCATGTAAGAAAAGGTCCTTATTCGCGCCAGACCGGCCGGCCGGCCGATATTTATTGTGCGCCTCTCTCTCGGCAATTTGCATCGCCCGGAGACACTTGGATATTTTTTTCTTCCTCGACAAGCGCTTCCTTTTCATGACGATGTATTTGAAGTCACATGTATTATATTTTACACAATGATTCACGCAACGATTTGTTTATTTGTTTTTTTTTTTTTTGTTTTTTTTTTTTTCCTTTAATCTCTCTGTCCCAGTTGTTGCGGTACACGACACGCTAAAGATATGCAATTCGAGATAACACGTGGTGCTCACACATAACGTAACTGGAAAGATCGGCTGTAGGCCTCCAAAGGTACAGATATTTTTAAAATGACCGAGCCCAATTGGTACAATGTTGAGGAAAACAACGAGTTTTTAATCTCCGGAAAGACGCATACAATGAGTTTCTCTTTTTTTTTAATCAGCTAAAAACGTGCGCATACAGCGAGTGAGAGTGATTGTCAGTCATGACTCGGCTTACTCATTCAGTCACGGGGAAGCCTGGAAGAGAAAAAAAAAACAAAAAAAAAAACAAAAAAAACTTATTTCATCAATCGAGCGATTTCTTATTCATGCGTGTGTATAATCATTCGAGTTTGCTCAACGAGCAGGGTATGGACACCTCGCTTTCACGGGGGTGACTCAGAAGCAGGTGAAAACGCAATCCTCAACCCCCCCTCCCCCTCCCGAGTGACAATGACAATGTAAAACACCCTTTCCCGTGGCCCCCCTTTTGCAGTAAGCGATCGGACTTGGGTAGTTTTGCGTGTACGAGGAGGAGGGGAAAAAAAAGGTTGCAGCGTTATGAGTTGTACAAGCATCGCGAGAGTCTTGTTCCCCCTCACTTTTTTTTTTTTTTTTTTTTTTTTTTTTTTTTTTTTTTTTTTTTTTTTCGGTCTCTTTCTGTGCACGGTCAGTTAAACGTATACAAGTATACAGGTGTGTATAAAACACACAGCCCGTGCATGGGTTCAAAGAACGAGCACCGCTTGCAGTCGGTACGTATAGGTATATATGTATACATGTATATCCAGCAGGTAGGTGTACTTACTCACTGTTCGCTCTCGACTCGGCTGGTTATACCTGTATAGGCACGGAATCACAGGGGTATAGATCCCGTGTGTGTGGTGGACGTGTATACATGTATATAAATATGAGCACCCGCAAGAGGGGGAGGGGCGCGCGACACCCACATACGTGCGCTCTTTGCGAGGGAAAGAGTCAGTATAGAGCATCGGTAGCGGTTGCGCTCCTTAGTTGGTATACCCACCCGGTCGCCGTTCGACGCATCGCAGGACGCGACTCCTGGCGCTCTTTGAAATTTTTTGCTTTTTGTCGGCTCTTTCGAACTTGGTGCAGGTAATAGAGGAGTGAATTTTGTTGTGAGATCGAGCGAATCGGTTTTTGTTTGCCTCGTCGTGGCAGTGATCTCGATTTTTTCCACGCATCGGCAGTGTACCCATACCGATCCGAGGGGCTTACATGGTAAGATAATGACGATTTTAATCACGACTTAACTGTTTTTCTTTCTTTCTTTTTTTTTTTTTTTAATTTATATAATATACATGTTCCAAAATTGTTAGAAAAGTCGGTGATGGTATCTACAATTGAATACGTATTATAACGTAACGGGCGACAAATAATGTATTGAGCGCCAAAAGTCGCACGCGTATCACGTTCGTATCGCACGTTTAGGAACGAACGTATATATGTATATTATACCATTAGAGAGTATGTGAAATTAAATTAGCGCTCCATGTAAATAAGCCAACACCAAGAAAAAAATAAACATACGTATGAGCAATTGTTCACTCCCTACGTGTAAATAGTTATGTACAGATATCTGATGATGAAGTTGTAAAAAAAGAGAAAAAGGTACAAACGTATCAAACGGCCTTGTTTCTTGTATGCATTAATCGAAGTAAAAGGCTAAAAGACCTCACATTCGGCTGTGCCGCGTTGAAAAAATATTTAGTTTACCAAACCGGAGGCCCACTATTTTCCAACCGAATAATTCGAACCAATCGTATGTAATAATAAATATACATAGGGTTGAACTGCAATAGCCCAAGATCAAGAATAAACCATGCAAGCCACCAGCATCACGTGTCAACGGCTTCAACAACAGCAATTCCTTAGACAACATCCCGAGCGCCTTACCATCTAAAGAAGAATCGAGCTGTATACCTATACACATACCGCAATCATCCCTCTCCTCCTCAAATACATTGTGTACAACGTATACTTCAATTAAGGAGGAGATCACCGTCAGCGCGTGTCCACGATTTGGATCTTATAAATAAAAAGGTATAAATTACATTTGCACGCACATACATACATACACGGACGTGCAAATATCTAAATGCCCACTTTACCCCTGTATACGGTTGAATAATCGAGTGTCGCGTGATGTATATACAAGTACGGTGATGTCGTCTTAGCTGGAGGGTAAGGAGCTTTCGGAAGCTCTTTCTCTCTCTCTCGGCCTGACACACTGCGGTGATCGAGTGGGTCCTGCTTTCGCGTCTAGATGTGTATATACAAGTGCACACATACACGCCCGGGTTCGCCGTACTCCTCCTCGCTGTCTTGTATAACAACGCCGTATACTTACGCGTATTACATGTATATACATTGAATATTCATACCGGTACAACAACGAGGCATTATTTCACGCGTTGTAATTTTATCTGTATACATGTATAATTGCCAAAGCTTTCTCCTTTGGGGAAAGCAAAAAGCCTTCGTCGCGAGTGAAATTGCAAGTTTATAATATGTACATCGGGGGAATATCTTTGTTTTTTCCTTCTTATTGCCTCTCGATTTTCGGATACTTTTTTTTTTTTTTTTTTTTTTTTTTCCTTCGATTTTGGGAACTGTGGTGCAAAATTGTCGTCTACGTGAAATCTCCACCAGAAACGCGTACACTATCCGATTTGCCGATCTGTACACTACTTTCTTGACAAATGCGGGGGGGTAGCCACCGTCATTAGCCTACTTTTGTTTTTTTTCCAACTCCACAACGGAGGAAACGTGTACTATCTGCGATTGAAATCTGTCGGCAATGAAAATATAAAATGTAGCGGCCTATGGGGGGGAGGTGGAGGTCCCATGGGCTTTGTGATACGTAGGTATACAATGTACTCATGGCTCTTTTTCCCCGTTTCCGTGATTTATTTCCATATTTGGTCTTATCGGTGATTTTTCTCGTTTGACCCACATCCCGAAGGTACACACCCGTAAACAAAAAATGTCCTCATTTTTACTGGTGGTAATCGTTTGGAAAAAAAAAAAAAAAAAAAAAACCAGACAGATCTCAATCTAGAATTCCACGAGTGGGCAGATTGAATCAGCGTACGTTATAAAAAAAAAAAAAAAAAAAAAAAAAAAAAATTGCCGATTTCATTTCGCGAGTCGATGATGTATGATAACAGTGACCAAGGAAGCGTTAGAAAACTGCGGATGTTTAAAGAACAGCTTGTGCACGCGTGTCATGTATGATATGTGTATATGGCAAAAGGCGGGATATCGAATGGTTTTTCAAAACGCGTCGCGAACAATGGGACCGATTCGAGTCGAGACTGATGAGCGCAGGTGTTTGTACAATAAACCGTCGTCCGGATCGTATTATAATCTGACGCCAAAAGTTGTCATCGGGGGGAAGAAAAAGAGTCAAAGTTGCGCGCGGAAAAAGTGAGCGGCTCTCCCGACGCAGTTGCCCGGCACGCGTATATATACTCGCACAAACATAATATTAATTATATACGTACACGCGTGGGGGTTGGGGGGGGGGGTGGACGATTGTACCTATTCGTGCGTTTCTGGGCGCTAACTGACCCTCCCCAACAAACACGTCCATCCAATGTGCGGGTGTTTGTCAAATACACCACCCACCTATTGTCCAAGTATCGTGTCGAGTGTATAACTAGATTACACGAGCTTTGTCGGATCACGTCGCACTGTGTGCTGTTTGTTCAAGTACAGTGGCAATTTTCGCACCAGGATCGTAATGCGCAGCACATCACATATTGCAGTTCTCGTCCCCATACATATACATACATACCTAAAATATCTATCTCCTGATGCGTGTCGTCGATTTTTCTGCGCATCTTGACGCAATCGCCCGCTTCGAACGTTGCGCTTGTGTATTTTTATTCGATGGGTTATTGGGTATGTTCATAATTAATGATTGTCAGAATCGTGTCTTTCGATTCAATTGTCTTTTTTTTTTTTCTTTTTAAACACTTGTTGTCCTTTGTCATCTTTTTTTTTTTCCACCAGCTCGTTCATTGGCGAATCTCTCTTTTGTTTCCAACACTGGCTGTTTGTACGCGTCACTTCCACTGTATACATTGTACACATACTGTGCATTATAACGTAACGCTCGGGTGGTTCTTATTTAGCTATATGTATGTACCCTACACAGGTTGGATTGTCCGTCGAGGCTGATTTTGTGCGTATTGAAAAAAAAGGGGGGGGGAAAAAGTATCAAAAGCATTCCTAGATGATAATCAAAAAATAAAATAGTCGCCCAACAATAAAACGTAGCGAATATACACACATAGTCGCTCGCTCTTGTAAAGCCAATGCCGATGACTCTTCTTTCGCAATTTCAGATCATGTCCCGGATCCTCGTTTCCGGAGCTCTGTACCTCGGTACGTAGTAGATTTTTTTTTTTTTTTTTTTTTTCCGTATTCGGTTGTTATTCTCTCTATGAATCGTAGAAAGTTGTTCTGTCGATGTTCCAGGCATAGTGGCACTCGGCGTGGCCAGCGGGCAGAACTGCGGCGAGGACAAAGTACGAAAATGCATCTCGATAGCCGAGCCGATGCTCAAGGATCCCCATCTGATATTTCCCGACAACATGAAGGACATAAACAACGTGTGCAGGTGCGTTGGGATTTTTTTTTTCTTTTTTTCAAGTATAGTGGCTTTGGAAAGAAAAAAAAAAAACAACAAGGCACGCTAGACAAGGTGCAACGACCAGCTGTCGGCGTCGTCCTTTCTTCCTTCCTTTCCCTTTGTATACAAGTATAGTGGCTTTGGAAAGAAAAAAAAAAAAAAAAAAAAAATCCATTCCGTGTATTCCTGTCTTACGACAAACTGCGTGCACTTGCAGAACGTGGTCAAACTTCGTGGATTGCATCAGGCGCTACATAGACAAGTGCTTCTCCAAAGTACGAAAGGACCAATTTAACTCGGCGGTCGAGCCACCTATCGCTTCCGTGCACCAGATGTGCTCCGTATCCTCCTATCAAGCGGGTGAGTGACTCTCGACGGGCTCTTCTGTATATTATTTACTTTTTTTTTTCTTTTTTTTTTTTATATATTAATTGAATACACTCAATGATCGCAAACACGCTGAAACGAGTGCAATTCACGAGTAATGGTTTTTCGTATACGTATACAAATAAGTATGTTCTTAAACAACTTCGCGTGACAAATAACGATTGAATAACCCCCCGGGAGGTAAATTTACAACTGTACTTCGTTATGGAACGCATCTTCAACGAATTGCGACAGAGAGCAATTGAAAGTAGGTTTGTTTATTGTTCTTTCTTCGATTGGCGAAGAAAACAATCGAAACCATAAAAGCACGCGTGTCGAAACTCCTACAATAGCATATTGCATGGCAAACAATCCCGTTACGTGTCCAAGACAATCGAACGCGCCGAAAAAAAACAAAAAAAAAAAAAAAACTTTTGTTATGTACCTGTAACAAAAATGATGCATAAAACGCGCTCCAGAGTACCTGCAGTACGCGGGCTGTATCAAGTCGACGGTCATCGAGCCGTCACACTGCGGTGGCCACTACACCGTCCTCGTCTCCGAAGTGTCGCAGGAGAACGTCCGCAAACCCTATCTCTGCTGGTGAGTGCTGCAGTACACCTATGATTAACTGTAACTGTTTTTTTTTCCACCCCTTCATTCGTACATTTTAATTGCTCTTCACGCGCCTCGACTGCACAGTGCGGAAAGATAAGCTTCTACGCTTTTGAATCTTTGGATTTTTCGCGATTGTTACTTGTCTCGTTGGGCTGTTGATTAATTGTGGTGTTACCGTTACTACGTACAATTACGTTGGAATTTCAAACGGTACCCCCACATTATATGTGATTTTCGCGCAAAAAGTATATATATATATATTATACTGGTCCAAAAACGGTGGTTATAATTCAAAATAGACGTACCACCTGAAAAAAAAATAAAAAAAAATAATAAAACAATTGGTTCACTGGTTGCTTGTATTATTTATAATTAATATAATAGTAACTCAAACGCCTATCCCCACATGATCCGGGGTGGTTACTGGTCGCCTTGATTATTTATAATAAATAGAATAATCCAAGCGCCCCGGGTTGTGTGGGAATAGACGCTTGCGTTGTTATATTTGTTTTATTAATAATTAAAGCGACCAGTAAGTGCCCCAGGTTGTGTGGGGATAGGCACTTGCGTTATTATTCACAGGAGAGAAATAAATCTTCCCCTACACTTCTGCTGTAGCTTTTCGGAACTTTTCCAACGGAAAGTCCCGATAGAGGTAGGGGTATGCGAAGATCCTCTTTGCCAATACTGTGAATCACCCATCGTTTATTTTCAGCGCCTACCACAACTTCCGTTCCTGCGTGATCCGGAAAACTCAGCTGAGGTGCGACAACAACCAGCCGGAGGGCATAGCCGCGAAATTCTCCCGGCAAGTGTTGGACAAAGCCTTCCGTTTTCTGCAGGACCAGTGCCTGAACTACATGTGAGCTATACAACCAAACCGATGATCCAATAATGATATAGCCACTACAATAGTACATACATAAAAAAAAATGTCGCCCATTTGACGCAGCCCCGACCCAACCAAGTGCATCGCGATGTTGGCCCAGGGGACGAGCAGCGGGGGCAACAAGTCGTCGAGCACGATGTCGATCAGCCGACTGGGCGAGGGCAGGAGCGTGGAACCGACGGCAAGTTCGAGCACCTCGCGTCTGGGCTCCCACCGGAGTGGCAAAGCCAACAGCGACATCTACAGCACCGCAGCCCAAGCTAACACGGCGAGGTCCTCCACTGTGTACGAGGCAGCGGCTCGGGCCCCCAGCTACGCGACCAGTCAGTCCTTTGTGTTATACACTTTTCACGATGTATCCTGGGAGATGAAACGATACAACTGACACGCTCTCTCTTTTCTTTTCTTTTTTTCAACTTCACCCGATGCGCGTGTAGATGTGGACGCGGGGCGCACGAGCATCAGTTCGCAACAGCAGCAAATGCCCGTGACTTCCGGTGGGGGTCGTGCCTCGTCGCTGGGGACGCAGCAGCGGCAAACCAGCAAAACCGGTAAGGTCAATGACGAGCTCTTTGGACCGGATGAGGGCGCGAGCCGGAAAACGCCGGAACCCACGCATTACACGGCTTCCATCGTCGAGAATTCTGGTATGTGTCGTCGTATATACCTATATAATATATACAAAATGAGCATGAACGTTACTTTTTTCGGAATAATTGTATGTGCCCGTTGGGTCGCAGTGCCGATTTATCCGGTCACCCAGAGATCGGCAAACTACGGCAGGGGTATATCGTGGTCGGCGCCGGTGGCGCCCTCGACCTCGGCAATACCCGACTGGGCCACCAATACCTGGTTGACTTACACTCAGGTATGTAAATGTGCATGATGTGTATAACGTGATTCTACTCTTTTGTTTGTTAATTTATTTGTTTTTTGGCCAATCAGGATTTCACGACGGAGGAGATTTACCCGGCCGCGGGGAGCTTCGGCGGGAACAACATCGACGAGCCCAATCAGCAGGGACTGTCGAGAAATAACGGCCGGTCCAACGTTGTTTGCTCCGCAGTGCTTTTGTACAGTATCGTTTTGCGCGCGATTGCGCTTTTAACCAATCGAGAGTACCTCATATGTACAGCCTTTACTATGTGATTGTATACATTTTTAGTCAACAATAATATATATGCATCACGTATTTGTACACTTGATGCGAAGAAACAAAAATGATAAAAGAGTTTATAGCTTTATAACCATACAAATATACATATATATATACACGTAAAATATTAATGTACGCGTATAATATTGTAAATCGTTATGCGTGATTCTTGAGAGGAATAACGTAATAGTTAAGATTGGGTAATGTTTGTTGTTCGTTTTAATGGACAAAGGGTGTTTTTTTTTTTCCCTCCAACTATTATTATGCAATACTGTAAAATACAAGAACAACGTCCGGTACGTGAAAATATGTAACGCGGATCAATAATATCACAGTAAAAAAAAAAACCTATGTTTGAATTTCCTTTGCCATGTCATGGTGATCGTGCATCATATTGACCTTTATTCATAACAATTACTTGAACTTGACTTTTACGAGAAGAAAAAAAAAAAATTATCAGTACGCTTCACGATTCGTTTATTTTTACGCTACGCAGTAATCGTCGGCTCAAAGATACGGGCATATTTATCTGTTGCATATAGTTTTATTCGCGACGACTCGGTGTAGTTGCCGTACGGAATCTTGTGAACTCAGTCGTGCAGACGTTTCGTTGCCGAGCAGAGGTCTCGCTCTCTCTCTCGCATTCAGATTATTTGGCCAAACAGACGTTGTTTGCGTTTATTACTTGAATTATCGTTTCATGTGACTAGAATTCCTTCACAAGCACAACAAGGTAAGCCTAAGCATTTCAATAACGAATTGTCCCCATTGTCAATAATATATAATTTTACAAATTCATTGGGTATATCCTGCCGGCACACACCTTATACCTAGCCGGTCGATTGCAATGGGCTCCGTGCACATCGTGCACAATACTAAGCTTCGATCGCGAGGGAGTGAGCGGACAATCTTGGGACCGCTCGCGTGATTGATCGACTGCCATTTGAGGCTCATGGGGACTTTAGTCATATCATGTAGGTACTTGTATATATCGTGACGTATATAATATATGCCAAATGATGCGTTTTCAAGCTCACGCACCTTTCCCCATGAGCCTCAAACGGCGGACATTGTCTCCTCACTTCCTCGAAGCTCACTATAAGTAGGTACTAGTGAGTCACACTACACTAGTGCACAAAAATCCCCATGCAGCGCCAACTTGTGGCTGGACGGTGAGTCCGCGTGGTTACCAGAATACACGGAGTGATGGCATAGAGTCGATAATTTTTTTCATTAATAACAAGATCTGTTCTAATAGCCCAATCATCTAAATTGGAATCCCTAACTCCTTAACTTTACGATGATATTTTTTTCAGCAGGAGATATTACTTTAACAATTTGTAAAAAAGATATTGCGTGTGTTAGTACTAATAAGTGTTCTCTATCTCTCTCACACACTTTATTTACTGACACATGCAATGTATAGCTCACATGTATGTACGAGTAACAAAGAAACATATATGTCTCTTTTACAAATTATTTAAGTAATATCTCATGCTGGAAAAAAATATCATCGTAAAGTTAAGGAGTTAGGGATTTTTATTTAGATGATCGGGCTATTAGAACAGATCTTGTTATTAATGAAAAAATTGACGCTGGGGATTTTTTTGCGCGGAGCCTATACTATAATTTATATCTCAAGGATGACGCCACTCCAAATTTTTCATATACTAGGTTTGAAATGTATACACATATACATATATACACAAGCACACGCGTCGTACTTCCAGGCTGACCCTTGGAAATGGATTTTTATTTTTTAGTTGCCCCTTTTTTAAGAATTTTCGTGATACTTCCGAATCGTCGGAACACAAAGTATTTATTATTATGAAGAAGAAGAAAAAATAAAACGTTGATCCATCGAATAGGCAATGATATTCGAGTAATAAGAATTGTTGGNAAAAAAAAAAATCTGGCAAAATTTGAATTGGAACTGAAAAAGGGGAAAATTTGTTGGACTCGGGCTGGGTCATTGGTGTATAAGTATATGGTTTTTCAATAATCGTATAGAATGCGTCCTGTAGGCCACTATACTAACAAGCTTGTTTAATTTGTTAACAAGTGGATTTTTCAATATGTATATTCTAGGTTTGAAAGGTTTTAACGCACAACAAATGAATTTGTTTATTTATGCTTATTGTTACGATTTGCCTCTCGTGTACACTTAACAGTAATTGTCACCTGCTTCATTTTTATTCGCTATAGCTTATTCACACTGCAAGCGTGTACATGTTGATATTGTATTGACGATGCAGTTTCATTTAAGCGAAAGAGGGCGACCAGTAATTTATTTTAAAAACCACACGTACACGTTCAAGTCGAACTTGTGCGGGGAAGTGCAGCGTTGGATTTGTTCCAACCGAAAGTGCAAAAGTTATTTGAAACTCGATTCGAGCCGCGCTCTCGTTGAACACGTCGAGTGTCACAATCACGACCCGCTTCCGAAAAACATAGTGTACCGAAGAAAAATCAGCAACGCCTTGAAACGAAAATCAACCGTCGACATGTCGATTCGACCGTCCAAACTGATACGTAGCGAAATAGTCAAGACAAACAACAAAAATTCCAACTTGACGGTCCAAGATGTCGACAGAATGAGGTGCAACGTCGGCGCCGCCCGTAGAAAGTGCATGCCCAAGTTACCAAAGACGCTATCTCAATTTCACGAGGCCCTCGACGGGCTGAACTTGGTGACGCGGGACAGTGAAAAATTTGTCTTGTACAACGACAAAACCACCAATATCGTTTTATTCTCGACGGACACAAATTTGCGCAACTTGACGCGACTGACCAGAATTTTCCTGGACGGCACGTTCTACTGCTGCCCGAGATTTTTCAAACAGTTGATAACGATCCACGCGTACCACAACCACACGTACGTGCCACTGGCCTTTTTTTTACTCCCCAACAAAAAAGCCGACACTTACGAAAGAGCACTGATGATATTGCAAAGCGAGTGCCGAAGATTGCAGCTGCTGTTTCGGCCGCAAGTGATGTTTGTTGACTTTGAGCTTGCCATCCACGAGGCCATTCGCAAAGTTTTGCCAGGCGTTAGCGTATGGGGCTGCCGGCACCATTTGGCCCAGATTTGGTGGAAAAAAATACAAAGCCTCCGGCTGACAAGGGTGTACAAGAAAAGCGATTCCGAGATCGGGGATTTCCTCAAGTGCTTCTTTGGCCTGCCGTTTTTGGATCCCTATGACATCGAGGATTGCTTTACGGACGATTTGATGAGTATTATGCCGAGGAATCCGGCAGTGGAAGACTTTTGCGACCACATCTTGCACGATTATGTTTCGACGGAAGCTCCGTTTCCACCGACGGTGTGGTCGAAATTATCGTGCGACCTGCGTCGCACCACCAACGAATGCGAATCCTTCCATTCGCACGTGAACAGCGAGTTTTGTTCGCCGTATCCGAATTTGTTTAACTTCACGGCGGTTCTTATAGACGTGCAGGCCGAAGTATCCATCAAAATGAGAAGTACCGATGCGCAATCTAATAAGCTCATGCAAGAGAAAGAGGTTTTGTTGAAAGAAGAAATGATAAATTATAAACAAGGAATGATTACTCGGCTAGAGTACATTAAAAATGTTTCCCAAATATTCCAATTCACCAATAAATGACAATGGTACTTTGTGTTTATTTGTTTTTTTTGTTTTTTTTTTTTTTTTGTTTTTATTTCAATGGCCGTTATTTTCACAGAACGCTGGAGGCCAGCAAAGAAAAACCATAACGTAACGCTTGGCGCGTGCAGGGATATTTAGGACATAATGGGCCATTTTCCCCAAAACGGAATTTTCCATGGCCGTTCATCGATATTTTGTTTTCTACACAAATTTAATAAGATTTTTATGAATGTTTCGCGCTGTGAAGGTACTTGTTGACCCAAAAATCTGATAAAATGCACGTAATTGAATTTGAGCGCCACAATTCGAGCGTTTTGTATTCCATGGAAGTACAGTGCAATGCAGGAATTTTTTCATCTCCGCAAATAAACTAAATATTAATTCGAAATTGTAAAATCAGTTTCTTCAAAGCATATAATTACAGGATATGCATATCTACAATCCCATAATAAACGCTTGGTCACAAATATACGTTGAGTAATCGCTGCAAGGGAAGATCGGAACCGACCGAAATTCATGACCGTTAAGTGTCGCTGCACTAGTAAGTATAACGTCTTTTCCAAAGCGTTGGAAGCTCAGACCATGATTTTAGTACAAATCACGGGAAAAAAATGTATGCAGTGCATTGCTCATACTTACCGGTTGATAATTAATGCAAACACTGTATAAATGTGGTCCGAGAGGTCATTACTGTGCCTGACGACGTTGACTCATAAATTTGGCAAAAAAAAAAAAAAAAAAAAAAAAAACTCCAATTGGTAACCACGAAGAATTTTTGTGGACAAAGTCGAGTTTGGGACACAGCTTGACTATTGTTGATACAAGTGATATCATACGAAGCTCCGAGCATATTCCTTATAATGGCATTAGACTAAAGGTTTCAGGAACAAGACTTGCTTTGTTCTTTTAAAGTAATGTAGAGTAAGACTAGGTTTCTTCAAAAAAAAAAAAATCAACTGTCTGCAATATATAATAAATTCAAATCCAATAGTAGGAGGAACAAATTCATCGATGAGATTCTTCATGATCCGCGCCATTTTTAAATTTGATATACTGTTTGCGTGCCTCTTATACTTAACTAGGTTCATCACAATATTGCACTTCTATTAATATATTAATTGTCAGTTCACTTTTTGCATGTGTCTTTTTAATTGGCACATTATTCTTAAACATTTTAGTATTACCCCCTAGCCCCCACGCCCCTGTAACGTCCAAAAATTTTTGTGATAGGAGATGGAGAGATTTACCTGTAAACCACACACAACACGAAGCCAAAATCTAAGTAGTCACTGCAGTAATATGATCCCGGATTACTTGGCTCACGAGAGATTAGCTCTGTTATCTCGGCACAGATACACGTGTACCCATTTTCACGAAGAAGAAATCAAAGAATACGATTATTTTTGTAATTGCTTTCCACAAAGAAGTAAACAATGTTTGTTGAGTAACTAAACGATCGATGAGCATTTTTTTTTTCCTCTCCTTGATGTTTTTTTTCTTTTTGTTTTCATTTGAGACGAAAAAAGGTAACCATGCACGGCGCTCTGAAAATCTAATTTATTTTTTTCACTGCTCTCGGATATATTTGCTTCCACGAAAATCTAGAAAATGGCAACCAGATGGGGAATCGCGAGCGCCGGAAAGATATCCCACGACTTTGCCACCGCCCTGGGAACTCTGCCGAAATCCGAGCACGAACTGGTAGCCGTGGCGGCCCGCGATTTGTCGAGAGCCAAGGATTTCGCGGAGCTCCACGGCGCGCGCACCGCCTACGGCTCCTACGAGGAGCTGGCCAACGACAAGAGCGTCGGTGAGTTTCCCACCCCCTTCATTGAATATAAATACGGGTGTACGAAGTTACACTTGAAAAAAAAAACAAAATCCACAGAAATCGTGTACATCGGCAGCCTGAATCCGACCCACTTGGAAATCGGTAAGATGATGCTGGGCGCGGGCAAGCACGTGCTGTGCGAGAAACCAATGGCGATGAACCTGAAGCAGACCAAGGAGTTGGTCGGGTTGGCGAAAGAGAAGAGCTTGTTTCTGATGGAGGCCATTTGGAGCCGGTGTTTCCCGGCTTACGACACCCTGAGACGAGAAATAGCCGAGAAGAGCATCGGCGACGTCAAACAGGTGATCGTCTCTTTCGGGTTCAATCTCAGAGACATCGACCGGTTAAAGTGAGTCGCCATCATATCCCAAGCAATGCACATGTGTTATATTATGTATACCAATACTTTATTATACGGAACGTCTAAATTGTTTAAAGCCAAAAGAAACTAGGGGGCGGCACCGTCCTCGATCTCGGCGTGTACGCGATCCAATTGGCCTGTTTGGTGTACGGCCACGAAAAGCCGGTGTCCGTGAAAGCCGGCGGTGTTTTGAACGGCGAAGGGGTGGACAGCTCGATGTCGGCGACGTTGATCTACAGCAGTGGTCGAACCGCGACGCTCGTAACACACTCCGAGGTCGAGCTGCCGAACGAAGCGCTGATCGTTGGTACCAAAGGGACGATTCGGATGCCTCGGTTCTGGTGTCCGACGAGTATCGTTTTGCCGAGCGGTACGGAGGAGGTGAAGCTCCCCGAGGCTAAGTTGAAGTTCAACTTCATCAACAGCGCGGGCTTGGCTTACGAGGCAGCCGAGGCGAGGGAATGCCTCAGAAAGGGTAACGCACTTTTTTCTTTCTTACTGGCTTTTCACGGGATATGACAATGGGGTGTACTTAATCGTTGCTTTTGGGTTTTCAGGTCTGAAGGAGAGCCCGAAGGTGACGCACGCCCACTCGCTCCTCATTGCAGAGATCGAGGACGAGATCCGTAGACAGATTGGCGTCTTCTACGACGTGGATTAATCATTACGTTTATAATGATGCGATTTTTCAATTGGCAAATATATGCGGGTGTTGGTTTTTTACAATGCATTTTCCGCTACGAGTTGAAACTCATTGGTTTTTTCTCACTTCGTAACTGTAGGAATTGTACACGATTAACGTTTGATTGGAAAAAAAAAAAAAAAAAAAAAAGTTGAAGAAAATATATTAACCATCAATTTATTAAAGTCGCCAGATTACATTCAAAGCGATGAAAACCCTTCAAAAATCCTTGACGAAATCAGTGAATCGTTTGAAATCATTTTCAAAGTTATTGAGAAAAAATTTTGATGACTTCAAAGTTTTTCATGAAATTCTATAGTCTTCTAAATTTTCTCGTGACTTGGACACTGAGCTCCGTGGTTGTAGTATCGCTCAAAGCTAATCCGAGCTTTGCACTCGAGAGTCACGCATCACAGTGTGTCGAATAAAAAAAAAAAAAAAAAAAAAAAAAATTATATCACGCACAGACTGAGCTTTTGGAACTGAAAACAATTTACATTCGTTAACGTATTTCCTTTTTATTCGGTATATGCACATCGTACGATCGTATTTTTGTTAATTTAATCAACGTTATGACATGCCCGAAGGCCTTGTGTATTTCAAGAAGTCGTGTAAAAATGAATCGCGTCCAAAAATAGAAAAATTTAATCATGTATCTTTCTAAGACGGTATAGGTATACAAACGAACACCAGATAACTTCGTACTCATCCTGAAAAATAATTGATACGGCGCAGCAGAAGTAAATTAAGTACTTTCGTACCAGATGACTGACTGGTAGGAGCGCGGGTGGAATTTTCCACGACTGCGACAGCCAAGGGATTCGTAGCTCTTGTATATACAGCTCCTATGAGAAGCTATTTAGACATACATGCGATTTTTAGGCTCATGAAGACAAAAAAACAAAATTAAAAAAAAATATTTTTAAAATAATAATAAAAAAAAAAAACTTATTTGCTTCGGGAAAACGAAAATTTGTGTGAGCAAAGGAAGAAGAAATGCCATGTTTCTCGTGATTACCACACCGAGTAGTTCACGCGTAGATCACCGTATTAGATAAACTTACTCGGGATTTTTCAATATTTAATTGCTCAAATGCTTAATCGAATGTTCAAAAGCATCGCACGCTAATACTGGTACGTAGTATACAAAGTGAATTAGTGTAAAGGGAAAAGAGGAATCAAATCACACGCAGCAAGTAACATCGCGACACACGAATATGCCTTTATTATATCATATTGAACATTCGAAGACATAATATAAAGTAAAATATATACATAATATCATATGTGTATTATGTTCTTATGTATTTTACGGATATAACAACATGGCTTTTTTTCATAACATGTATAATAATAATAATAATATATAACCGGTTAAACATTTATATAAACAACTGTATACAACCCGCTCGCATGCGTACCGATAAATAACAATTGGGTTAACATCATTTAATATCATTATTACCATCATCAGCATTCACGCAATCTTATACAAAGTTTCACGATGATTTATTCAAATGTACGACGCGTGCGTCAATCGTTCGTTTGGTGTCTTGTACACTTAAAGCCACATTAAAAATTGATCAGGCGGTCTGCTCTCATCCTCCCTGTGTGCATATCACCAGCACATACTATTTTCATTTTTGATTTCGCTCTTGATTATTCAGCCATTTTCAACATCTGCCTCCGAACTTAATCCTTCTCGCTGAAATGGCAAATAAAACATTTATTAACTGTACGTAAGAGGAAAAGATTAAATTGTAAAAATTAAATTTCCAAAATATCAACCATCTGTCTCTCCATCCCCGAGGGCAAAATAGTTGGAAAAGGTAGATTATGGCAAACTTACGACACTGAGTAGCGCGCAGCACTTGTTGGCCCGGCTGTTCTTCGCCAGATGCGACCTAATGTACTTGGAGTAGATGTGCTCGAGGAACAGGAGTAGGGCCGCTATGAGGATACCGACCATCAGCATTAAAAAAGCACTCAAGAATTGCTCGAGCGCGAGGGGGTCGCTGCTCTTTTGCACCTCCCTGTCCGGCCGGCAGGTGCCGGTCATCCAGNTTTACATTTCAGGTGTTGCTTGAAAATATTTTTTATTTTGGAGTATAAATACTTGATACGTTGTACAAGGCAAATTGTTTAATTTTCTTTTTTTCCGCGAGAAAAACATCAATACCAAAGATGACAGAAGAAAGAGCAGTTGCTCCAAGTGAAACTTATCTCAGCATTAAAAAAGCACTCAAGAATTGCTCGAGCGCGAGGGGGTCGCTGCTCTTTTGCACCTCCCTGTCCGGCCGGCAGGTGCCGGTCATCCAGTAACGCCTTAACCTCTCCAGGTCACCTGCAATGTTGTAACCATCAGGTATAGTGTATTTTTTTTTTTTTTTTTTTTTTCTTTTTCGTACGATCGAATAAAAAGTACCGTTGTCTATGTACTCGAGGAGCCGCTGATTGAACATCTTTAGGAATCTCGAGTTGCGGGGAAAGGCGAACCCATAGCCGGTCATCGCGTACCACGAACCTACGGTCAAGAGCCGGCAGTCCTCGTCTTGCGTGACCAAGTAGTCCAACACCGTGCCGTCGTAAATGAAAGCGTCCAAGTCGCTGGAATTCATTGTGTGTTTATTTACATTTATAAACGTATCGTGTACGAAAAATGTTAATTTTATTATTTATTCAGCTTTGTTTCTTCTCCTCAATATAAATTGCAATATTTTTTATGCAAAAACTGTTCTCAAACAAAGATGAAAACGCCGTCTGCGTGTCCATCACGAAAAAAAAAACTCGTGAAACAGCTACAGATATAAATATTGTTTTCGATTGTTATAATCATACTATATAGTTACGTGTTGGACGCGCTTGGCGCGACATAATTCTTCTTGTGACTATGTTTTATGAATCATTATCGAACTAGCACGCCACACTACACCCAAAGAGATAAAAAATGTTGTTAGTCCTTTTTCGCTCGTTCAATTAAAAAACAAGTGAAATAACAACGTGATGATAACTCTTCGTTTAAACGGCGCAATATGAGCGAACAAACAAAAATTAACTGAAAATTTTTTTTTTTAGGGATATTCTAAAATTAAAACTATATCTCGTTTGAACTTTGATCGAAAACAGCTTTTTCTTTTTTTTTAATTCAAACAAATCCAATCTGGTACAGCACTCCAGATTATTTTTTTATCGAAAGCTCATTTAATTTTAATTACTCCTACAATCTTACAGAAGTGGCTTTTATGAGAAAAAAAAAAAAAAAAATCTGCTAAATAAACTATACGTGTTTTCTGCCAGTCTATCGCGCGACGAATAAAAAAAAGGCTTCAGTCGCGTGGCAAAAGACACCCTACAGTATCGTTCGCCAAAAAAAAAAAAAAAAAAAAAATAGGCAAAGTATACCCGTTGACCACAGCCTCGACACCCTCGGCGGCGTTGTTCTTGTTGAAGTGCTTCATATAGGCGTGCATCTCCCTGAAGTACTTGGCGAGGGTGCGATCGGTGTGGGTCCAGGGCACCGTGCCGTACTTGAGCATCGGCTTGTGCGAGGTGGGCCGAGCCAGCCGCGGATCGTCGACGCCGGTGAAGGCGTAAAACTCCTCGCGCGTTATCATGAAGGCCGCGAGGTTAGCCGTGTAAATCGCCAGGAACACCACAGCGAACATCGCCCACACGTTCGTCATGAACCTGTCACCCGTGCAGTGTATATTACATTGTACATTTTAATCTTTTAGGATATAATATATACCTCTGTAGTGCATTTGCCAACCACGCGGAATCGATCATTCACGCATACATCGATCTCTCGTTTATTGAACCCAAAAAGAGGCGGTTCTCCGTTAAAACTTATATGATTATAAAGACCTATTTTTTTTTCTTTTTTTTTTCACATTTATTCAAAAGGGTTTGAAACAAAGGGGATCGTTAAATTTGGGCAGTACAAACGATGCAATGTACACATGTATATATACCTAGCAGTGAACCCTTTTGGGGAGTCGACGTGAACCGCGGCTTGAAAGAGCACGGCCCACACGAGCCAGTAAACCCTGCACAGGGAGAACGGGTTCGTGCTGCGTATCTGTTGGTATTGCTGCTGTAATTGCTGAAGCTGCAGCTCTCGGCGTTGCTGCTGGCGATGCTGGTAACGATGGGCCGCAGCCTCGTGGCGAGGCTTATGTCTCGTCTCCTGCTGCAGGCACGCGAATAAATTGCATATCGCCCTCAAAATACATGCATATATGGTACGTATCGTTTTAAAGGACAGTGAATTTTCGTTGTATATATAGGAGAGGAGTCCCACGATATATTTTTTAGAGGGATTTGGTGCGTCGTCTTTTGTCGGATTGCGGCGTAACATGGCGTTTCAAAGCAATTACATAGAAGCAATTCAGGAGTTGGTGCAGTGAAATACAAGCAAATGTAAAATTATAAAGAGAATCGAGGGTTATTGGGTAACAAATTAAACATCACCTCCACGAGGATTAATCGACTCATTGGAATTGCATTGATTTATCGTACCTACTTGTCTTACAACATAAAGCGGTGCTCATACATTTTTTTATCGTTACCGATCTTGACCAAGTGTGGTGATGCTGAGCCCCCTTAGACGACTATAATTATACAGGTCATTTTTGTCCTTCTCGAGAATATTCACAGTAGTATCGATCAGTTCGTACACAACGTGGTCGTTTTTTCTTCATACAAAATTGGAGGCATCTATCTCGTAAGCGTTAAAAAAAATAAAATACAATTTTTCCGAGGGACATTTACCCATTTGCAGAAAAAGACACGGGACACTGTTTGATTTTTGAATGAAAAAAACTGAAATGAAGAAAAAATATATCTTGCAAGAAAAAAACCTATTGGGTTCACCTCACAATGGTCATCATTGTTTCATTTTCGCTCTCGGGAAACAATTGTTTTGCCGCAAGCACACATCCCTCAGCTTTATTCTACTACAATATACATGTGTGTGTACCCATTGTTTCAAACCAGAGTTGCGCGTCGGAGCGAAACATCGTTTGCAAAGGGACGATTCTTCGTTTCCGTCGCATAACTATGTTTTTTGTTTTCAGAGAGAGAGAGAGAGAGAGAATTTCCCTAATAGGAAAGTTTTGACGAGACTCCATGATTTACAGAAGGAGCCGGATGCCTTTGCTTTTTCAGCTGTTCAGTTCACTCAACGTTCCTACGACCAAGTTTCGGGCAAATTTTTTTACCATCGCACCCGCGGCCGTTGTATTTTAATCGTCGAATCAGCGCGAGATGAAATTAATCGAACAAATGGTTTTACCGGTCTGTTTCGATTGTTCTTTCGAAAATTAAATTCGCTTGGCATTTCGTTGGACTCCCGTTGTAATTTGCAATGCCCAAAGAAACAAAGTCGACTTGATGCTGTGCAAAAAAAAGTAGCGATCCGACGATTCGAACGCCAAATACTCAACTCACGCGAAGAGTATTTCATTTAAGAGTCCAAAAAGATAAAAGGGAAATCGGTCGAGCACAAAAACGGTCTCTCAGTATTCCTATACTTTTCTCGAAAGGAGTAAGAAGCGATATGTTTTTCTCGCTTCGGCAGCTCCGGGGTAGGTACTCATAGACTCTATATTTATGTTTTCGCCGTAATTGAGAGCTTTGCAGTGCAAATTTATGAAAAAAAAAAAAAAAAAAACGCCTATGAAAAGATATATCAACGAGTGTCAGCTTGACCCGCTCGAGGCAACGCCTTTGAACGTTCAGAAAGTCACTTCAGTCGGTTCATGTGTGAGTTTTAGCTTTTAGCGCAGGTATAATATGTACAATATACTCTAGTGGTCAAGGGGTGGTTTTATAAAGTAAGCAAACGCCCGCGCACTGACTGCACTCGTGGTGAGATAATTAAATGCGCGAGGTATAAGTGCTGGCTGTAGATGTAATATATATAAAAGGTACGAGATGCAGAAATTTATATGCGAATGATCGTTTTTCCTTTACATTTCAGGTGTTGCTTGAAAATATTTTTTATTTTGGAGTATAAATACTTGATACGTTGTACAAGGCAAATTGTTTAATTTTCTTTTTTTCCGCGAGAAAAACATCAATACCAAAGATGACAGAAGAAAGAGCAGTTGCTCCAAGTGAAACTTATCCACTTCACAATGCTGTAAAAAATGGACACACGGGTAGATTGAAAAAGTTGCTGAAGTCTGGAAAATACAAGAACGATGTCATCGATGCAGAGGGACAGATGGCAATTGATTTAGCTGTGCAGCCATAGAAATTCTACTCCGTTACGGATCAAAGAAATATGATCAAGTAAGTGTATGAAAAACGAGGTCTCAAACCATACCAAAATATTATAATACTCGACACATCCAAGTATTATGAAATTGAGTTTGGAGATTAGTCTTGTACCATATTAAAACGCATTATTGGTACAGTTTTGTACCTTTAATTTAGATTGAACTCTCTGAAAACAGCAAAGCAGCTATTCGTCCCGAGGATAGAGCCTCGGATGAAGAAACCATATTGCATGAGGCAGTACAACATAAAAGCAAACTCGTTATCAAAGCACTTGTGCATTGGGGTGTGGCATTGAATGGAGATGACATCTTTCGCAGTCCTTTATACTATGCAGCCAAAGATCCTGATTTAATTTCTTTTCTTCTTAACTTGGGCGTTAATCAAGATGCCTGCAGTGAAACTTTCCAGCATGCAATGTCATGTGGAGTAATAGATACAGTAAAGCTACTGCTGGAACATGGTGTTAAATGGAAACCTAATAAATGGGATCCGTTACTTTATTATGACCCTTGTGATTGCCCAATCAAATATGCAATTCAATATGCTGATTTCGAGATAACCAAGCTCATATTGCAATATAGTAACCTGCATACATCTTATCCCCCTCATTATCTTAAACAGGCAATGAAATATAATGAGGCAGATGTTGCTACATGTAAAGTAAAACTTCTGATTGAACACGGGGCTGACTTAGATTGTTCAGATCGTAGAGGTGATCATCCACTCGATATATCAGTAAGGAATAATGAGTTTCAAATTGTTTGTATACTAATTTATGGTGGAGCAAATGTTTATTATGAAAATTCTCTTGGAAATAGACCGGTAGTGCAAGCATTAATTAAGGGAAACCTCAAATTATTCAAGATGCTATTGTTTTGCGCCCCTGATATTGCTAAAGGACATGTAGCTGGCTTGCATTGTAGTGCAAAATTAAAAGAGATCACATGGAATGACGCCGAATACCAACAATTCATGGAAATGAGCAGAAGAGAATTAGATGTGTTAAAGAAGACGAATATATGTGAAAACGTCACATATTATGACATTCTCCGTGCCAATAGACGTCAACTCGTGGCTCTATGTAAGAAACCTGAGATACGCAAAACTTTTGCACGCTATGATACGATAAATTTTCCTGTATATAAAGGCCTGCTCGACAGGAAATTACTTGATGGAATTCTGTTTGAGCCATTTTATGAATCTTCACTGGATTATTGAGGTGAGATTTTTCGAGTACCCCATATATGCGACTGCCAGATGATATTGTTGAGGAAATACGAAGTTACTTCAGTGTCAATGATTTATTTAATTGGCAAAAGGAAACAAAAAAAGCAAGTAGTGATTTATCAGATGCATTCAACCCTACGGAAATTTCGAAAAAAATAGGTTTCCTGTTTTGTATTACTTTTAACTTGCTTTAATTTTTCCAAATGTTGCAAACAGAACTTCTTATGTATTTAATACATTGAATATATATTATTTAAATTTTATTGAAATCATTAAAAAATCATTGAAAATGGAAAACTTCTTAGTAACGATTATTGCTGTTAATAATACAAAAATTAGTTTCCACCTTACATTTTTTTTAGAACAATTTTGTTTTAGATCGGTAAATAACACACTCTACGAACTCATGAGCTTACACTTAGGGGTCGTCCACAAAGGACCGTCCGGTCGTTTTGGCTAAAAATGACCCCCCCCCTTCCCTCTGTCCGGTTGTGTCGGGTTTTGGCAAACTCCCCCCCTCGTCCACGACCGGACGGTCCTTTGTGGACGACCCCTTACACAAAGCATCAGTACATCCTTGATACTTTTATTACAGATACTTGAGTTATATGTAACGAAATCGATCACAAAATAAATAAAACCATATTTACCGTGAAACACGAAATGTGAGCCCAAAAGTTTAATTCTTAACAAAAACGTAATGCTAAAGAAAAAAGCTTAATGTGTGCGGGTTAAATATCTACTTTGAAGTAAATATGTGGAAAACTTTATGTACATACTGTAGCGAAGCAAAAATAAATCATGCAGCAAGGAAAAACATTCCACATGCTTGTATATTTATATCCTTGGGCAAGTTTGTGTGTTGCTGATGGTAAAGGGGAGGAAAGAAGCTGTTTGTACTGTATTTACGGTAGTAAACTATTTTGCGATCAAATTCAATATTTCGATGAAAGAGATAAAACGGGGCTCAGGGGGGGAAAACAGCGTGACAAAAATTTTGTCGTCAAGAGCTCCGAATTCCTCCTTTTCCGTTCCATTCACTCTATAGGTTGTTCAGAAATGTTGGAATTTCGGATATCTCTCCTACGCGCAAACAGTCGATTGGATTTATTTTTCTGTCATTTATGAATTTCATGTTAACTAAATATGTTTCCAATACATGCATGATATATACAAAAAAAAAAGCTTTGAAAATCTAATCACACGGCGCAGTTTGCAATAAGTATGAAAGAGTTTTGGCGAACATTTTTACTAGTATACCCCACGAAGAAGTGTTCCTATATACATAGCAGGGATGGGAATTAAGATGAAAAGGATGTAATACGATGGCGTAGAAAAGCTAAGAGGTATACAAGTGCGAATATAAACATATGCGTACAATAATGAGCGAACCAACAAGATAAACAAGGGGATGAAAAAAAAAAGAGCGAAAGAAAGGGAGATACCAGCTTTCGGGTCGCGAGTCCCACTACGGAACTATCGTTGTTCCCGTAGCCGGAGGGCGAGAGCCACTCGAAGAGAAAAATCATGAAGGTTGCCAGGTGTATGGCCACGAGGCCAACGAGCATCCACGAAGCTGTGTCGAATGGTTCTGGAAATGACAAAAAGTTACGAGGACACTCTCACGCCCACCCGCTGGCGCACACTTGCTCAACAACATAAATTATGTGCATCGAAAATGAAAAAAGAGCAATGAGCTACTGCCAAATACATACAATATATTATTTACACACTATAACAACATACGCTTTTAAAGTGTTTATATCATATATTATATATTATTATGTATATATTTATATATGCGTATATAAGGGACGGAGAGGAGAGCACCGGCGTCAGTCTATATATTCTCATGTTATACGCACGCAAAGGTATACACGAGACTATTATGTAAAAGCACCGCGGGAGTCTCCTCTTCTCCCGTCTATTTATCGTCGCCTACAATTTTAATCAACGGCGTTCTCCGAGTTTGCAAACCTACGTGGTATATATATATATAAAGGGCGGGGTCATATGTCTTGTGTGCGCCGAATTAACGAGCGACTCCGGGATAATTTCACTTTACTCGTCGACGACTAATTTAAACGATCGTCGCTAAATGCGATTAAATTGTACATTACAGCGTGTCTCGTTGCTTGAGGTATACGTGAAATTTGGAAGATTCGAAAACTCGGAGGACGCGCGTCAAACTTTTTATTTTTATTTTTATTCGAGCGCTTGTAAATTTATAGCTTTAACGGAATATATATATATATATACTTACGTGATGATGCTTATACTTGACATTTCAGCGTGTCATTACGCATAAGGTATACGTGAAATTTGGAAGTTTCTAAAGGTACAAACGCTGTCGTTTAACTTTTTATTTTTATTTTTTTTTTTTTCATTGCACAAACGAAACGTCAATTTTACAAATTTACAAGCTCAACGCGCTCTCTCGTCTTTACATTATCTACCAGAAATTTTTTTATTATTCCAAAATACGAGCGCGTTTTATTTCATTTCTTTTTACACCGAAACTAAATTTAGTAAATTTTACAAACCTCAACGTTTTTTTACAAAATTTTTTTTATCTTACAAGAATTTTTTACGTCCCAACACGTCATCACGATCCATTAACACTTTTCTCGATTTTTGCATTTTTTTTTTCTTCTTTCTTTTCTTTTTTCTTTTTTGCTTCCTCTTTATTTTCTGGTTCTCCGACTTCTCCAAAAAAAACCTTATCGTTCCACAAAAGGTTATCCGAACGAAAGTACATACTAAAAAGTTGCGTGGCTCATTGTTCGTTCAAGATGCACCAAACTGTGATCTCGTTCATTCGTCAGTTTTTTTTTTTTTTTTCTTTTGCCACGCCATGCACTCATGATTTTTATTTCTTCTTCTTTTTCATCTTTAGTCTCTTTTTTTGCTTGTTTTTAGCTTGTTTTGCACAAATTTTGTCCCGTGAGTTTTATTCCTTCCATTTTAAATGATTGTGATTGAAAATTAGCGACGTCGGTCTTTGTTATGTGGAAATTCCTGTTTACTGTGAATGTTATAATAATCGGCGGGTGGTGGTGGTGAAAAGAAATTTGAAAAGAAAATGGTAAATGGAACAAAAATCCAAACGACCGCGAGGACGAAACAATAAGCAGCACTTAGTGAAAGGCAAAATAAAAATCTCTGACAATGTCACACTGTGAAAAATCGACGAAAAAAAATTAAGGTTTTCCTGCAAACCATGTCTCGTGTGAGTATGTGTGTACGTGTTTGGTTGTGTGCACAATATCAAGATCACAAGACACATGAGATTGTGTCGATCGTTTTGTTGTCTGTTGAGAAGAATAAGTATGTAATATAACTAGTTTAACCGGTTTAATGCCCAGCGAAGTCCAGCCTAGCTGTGTGTACGAGGATTCGCGCGCTCGCCCTCACATATAGCTCGCTCTGTTTTTTTTTTTTTTTCTTTTTCTTTTACACTTGCATTGCACGCGCACACGTGTGCTTGCACGTCCGTTTTATTTTGTTGTGTTTGATTGTGCTCTGTAAGTATAAGTGATAAATTTATGTTGCGTCCAGCTGTGCGTGGGTACACGTGTTGCTCTAAAACAGGCGGTTGTAACAAAAACCCTTACGATTGGTAAAACAATATCGTTGCGATGGTGGCAAATGTGACGATTGCTATTGGCCCAATTGACCGATTAAAACGATTGCCGTATCATAATAGAAGTTCCATTAATGGCTATATTGACGAATTAATTTTCACTGTCGAATTATTTAATCAAACCACGCTCGATAAGCACACAAGGATGTTCGCCAAACAAATGGACTTTGTCGATAAAACTCCCGCCTTTGTTCCTCGATTCGGGACTAATAATTTTGCGCGGCCATTAATTAAATTCTGTTGTCCAAATTTGTTATACGCATCGCGCTTACACCGGCAAAACCGAGAGAATTACGCGGACAAGCAATTTCGTGAATTCAGCAAAGTTATTTTCACCCGAAATTCGCCAAATTCGTCGCCTCAAAACATAACAGTTCGATTAGACACGCCGATGCATCCGTGCAATTGAAAGGATCGTTTCAACCCTTTTCAAATGAAACATGGAAATTTTAATTCAACGCCCTGAAACAAATGATCCGTAAAAATTCAGTTGCAAAAAGTAGTGCTTGGCAACCACGTGTACCTACGCGGCACGTGTAACTCGTGCTTGAAATGTCGAACGTGTAAATGTATCGTGTGCGTGGAGAGCATCTATTAATCCTTCCTTCTCGTGCCTTTTTTTTTCTCCATGGGGAGAAGAGAAAAGGAGAAAGAGGGGACTGTGCTCGGACACCGAATCGCAGAGTCGTTTTTCTCGCGTTGTCTTACGTAAGTATTTTTTTTTTTTTAATTATTATTATTATTATTATTATTATTATTATTATTATTGTTTTTAACGAAAGCGCGTAACTCGAGAGCGGTACCGTGCAACACCCGCAACCATAACTGGATGCCTGTTCAAGGCCTCCTCTGCCACTCGAGAGATTCTTATATAATTTCTATTCTCGCGCTTTGCTTCTGTATACACGTACAAGCGGTATGGGTACGATTTCCAAATATATTATACGTAATGTATGCCAGGAAGAGGCATCTGTGAATTTCTTTAAAAAAAAAAAAAAAAAAAAGAGGTCTATGGTGAAACATCTGCGATACGGGGCTCCGAGCTCTTAGTCCGCACGTAAGTATATTTCTGTGTGTATGTGTTTACCGACGACCACCTCAACCTGTACGTAGACATCGGCGTCGTCAAGCGTATATATAACAATATAATGTATATGATATGCAACATTTATAATCTAATCCTATTTTATTTCTCGTATTCTGCAAAAATTGTATAAAAAAGATTAGCTCTGCTTCGCGCACGCTGGGCATCTCATATTTGTTACAATAATATAATGATGATCATAATAATAATAATAAATAACCATTTGAGTTCTATTGTAAGGGTTTGTAATTGTTTTTTTTTTTTTTTGTTTTTTTTCTACTAAAATTACTTTGCACATATAACGGAGAAATCAATGGTGTGCTTGATGCAAATAACATTGGTCGCGGTCCCTCACAACGATCTTTACTATTATTCGTTTTATCACACTGTTATTTGTTGTACGTGTATCAATGTAAAAAAAAAAAAAAAAAAAAAAAAAAAAAAAAAAAAAAAAAAAAAAAAAAAAAAAAA